CTGCTTCATAGTGTTGAGTTATTGGGATAGAAATTTTTACCTGTGGTTTTTTCATACCTCTGAAATAGTATATAGTATTGAATGTGTACGTCACTTTTTTAGTCAAAGGGTCAAAAATTTTCATCAGATATTCAAAGAGGTACCTTGCTTCCTTTAAATTGTTAAGAGCCACTGATGCAGAGAGATTACTGTGTTAGCTTGTCCTACTGAGAACCAAACTTTGTTTTATAAACAACAAAAAAAATTCTTTTAAACAAATCATGTTCTAGAGTTGGTTTGGTTGTGGAAATTAGACTTACACAAATGCTTGACCTAACACCCACTATGTCCACATCATTGCTTTCCTGGTTAAACCATTGCTAGACTTAGTATGTAGTTTAAAAATGGGGAAGAAAGTAGAGAATGAGAGATAAAAGCTAGGGACCATTTCAAGCAACTGAAGCCCACCAGAGGTGAGCATTAGCACTTGAAATTATCAAAGGGACTCCTCTCATCTGCTTCTCTTTTTGCCACAATCTCCCTTCAAAGTTTCAAATGTTACATTTGAAATCCAGTTACACCGGCAGACTTAAAAAAAAAAAAAAACAAGCAAACAACAAAACCCTCTAGGGGTTCCTTTCCATTTCCCTGTCCAGTTCTGAAATCAGAACACTAATTCTCAGAAAGCCAAAGCATAAGCTTCAAGCAGAAACGAGGGGATGCAGCAGTGTCTGTATTCTGAGAAACTCTTCTAGAAGCTGTTGGAAGCCAGGAAGACCCGAATCTCTTCCACTTGTGTTAGCTCTGCTGTGTTAACGGGAGTAAATGTTTGCTTCTTCTAGTAAAAGAAGCAGATGTGGTTTAGAAAAACATGTGGAACAGATGTGCTTAGCAAAAGTTTTTATTTAAATAGTAACTTATCTGACCATAAATTACACTACCTCCTGATGTGAGTGTCTAACATCACTCTTTCATGAACACAGAAACATAATTTGTACAAACACTAAAATAGACCATGAATTAAAGAACATACTCCTCTCATCTTTGCTCATGTTTAAGAGAACCGAAAGTCAAAGATTTTCATGCATGCCTTGGTTATATGTGAATGCTTCCTGGCCACTGAGAAGGCCTATGCACTCAAAATGTCATGTGTGTATAGTGCTCATGGAAATAACATTTCACTTCCCTTGGTGCTATGGGGATTTCTGAGGAAAGCTGTTAAAGAATTGCTCAGATTGTGAATGCAGAACTTGGGAAGGTGCAGTATGTAAGCCAGGGACACTTAACAGACTTGAAATAATGTGTACAGCATGAGTCACTGGTAATAAAATGGATGTCGTCACTATGACATTTACTACATTTCATAGTAAGTAAACGAAAAAGGCCAAATTCCTTCTGAGACTCAGTAGGCACAGAACCTATGGTACACAATGCTTGTAGGGGTGCATGAAAATTTTTGAATGAACGTTTGAGTAGATGAGACTAATCTATGATATCTGCTAGGCTATGTGTATTACATGAATTTTCAACTTAGGGTATTTTCAATATATTGAGGGCTGAACAGGATACAACCCCATTGTAAAAGAAGGAGCATCTGTACTCAAATCCTACCTTGTGCCACTATTTACATCTGTCCCATAGAAAGCTTGGACAAAATTTCAAATCTTTCTAAACCTTTCTTAGTTTCTCACAAAGTTGTAAAAACAAAAAGAAAAGAGGGTAAAAAATGCACCTATTTCAGATTTGTGATAAACATTAAATAAGACAGGACGTAAAGTGCTATAGTTAATGATTGGCACATAACCAAAGTTCTGCAAGTGTTGCCTTATGACCTCTGCTGCCTCTTGCTGCTGCGGGTGCTTCTATTGTCTTCACTATAGCTCCTAGCATATTTAGAAGAACAAAGTGCACAGCAGAAACCTAATGGCCTGGAACTGGTTGAGAGTATTCACTACAGTAGAGATTCTATTCTTGAAAAATTAAATCACATTCCCTTGGTAAATTGAAGTAGGCAGGGTAACTAAGAACCACTAAAATCAATATTTAATGGATATTAACACTTTGGAAACTAACATGTTTTTATTAAATAATTATTGATAAATGTGCCTCTGTTTTCTAATTATGAATATTTACTAAGACATTAGGCAACTACCACTTTGAGCTATTTTATAATACTCTTCTGGGGTGCTGGAAAAGTATAAAAGTAAATGACAGAATTACAAAGCATTCGCAAAAACTAAAATTAGAGTCATTCACACACCATTTAATAACAGCATCTAAATGGCTAATTATTTGTTTTGATAAAGCAGCAAATGCCAGTTTTAAAGGTGTAGCTAAATCTTTGGTAAAAGCACTATTTTCTTGTAGGTGGTGGTCGCACACTGTTGTGGTCCTAGCTACTCAGGAGGCAGAGACAGGAGGATAGTTGTTGGAGACCCACCAGGGCAAACTTAGCAGGAGACTCTATTTGAAAAACAAACTAAAAGCAAAAGGATTAGAGTTGTGACTCAAGTGATTGCGCTATTTGCCTAACATGAAAAACCCTGAGTTGAATCCCGAATACTGGAAAAAAAATGCTATTTTCTCTTTCCTTGGTATTTTCCCTTTATGAATTACAATCCACGTAAAAATGAAAATGGATTCTAGCAAATAGATCCATGAAACACAGTCTCTTACACTTCTGCCATTTGACTTCACTGTAGATTTTATTTATGTCTCTATTTTGGCACAACATGCTGGGGACAAAATGTATATGAGCCCATAGATCATCTATACAAATCAACTTCTGTGGAAGTTTTATTGGTATCCATGTCAAAAAAAATTTTGATTTGGAAAGGGGTTTTAGCAGAAATATTTCTCCATATGTTTTTTCAATTTCCTTAGAACATAAATATATTTTATTAATTCCTAAATATGATATTTTCAGCCACAATAACAGTTTATTTATTACTTTCTAAATTTTTCTCAACAGCAAAATATTATATAGTTATGGGTAATTTTAAATGAAATAGCAGTATAAGTACCTTATATGGTGTTTTTATGCTTCATTAAAATATGTTTTCTTTAGTTAAATGCATATTTGTGATTATAATAATTATATTAGGCAGAAAAGATGGCTGGTAAATGAGTAGGATAAAGAGCTGTCAGAATAATACCACTGACTAAAAATGATTAATGATGTAAGGATGAAAATAGATAAGAATGGTTCTCCAACATACAATATTATAGGACTACCTTTAAATTATTATATGTGTAGTCAGTACACAAAAGTAGAGAGGCAGAAATTCTTATTGGTCTAAATAAGTAGTTCTCAACTGCATTTAACTTTGCTGCTTAAGAGACATTGCCTCTGGAGACATGTTTGGTTGTCACAACTTAGAGAAGTGGTCTTCTGCTGTATAGATTTTGGGGAGTCAATAAAACAGCCTATCATTTAACCTGCAATAATTCAGTTCTGGACTTTAGACCTAAGAATACAGTAAGGGCACTGTGCTTGTTAAAAGAAAATGAAAAGAACAGTTTGGAAGACCATAGTTTTTAAGTTTCATGATGCATATCTGGTCAGCTATTACCTTAATTTAGAAGTGCTCAAAAGAGTTGGTCAGAGACTAAAAACATTATCTCTCACTCTTTCTGTATCTTGGAACCATTGCTATGCTATCAGTTTGAAGTAAATCCTAAAGACTCTAAAGAGGTTAAACATAAAAGAAATAGGGGGGAAACCAGGGGCAAGATGGTGGAATAGAAGTGTCCACCAATTTGACTTTGTGAATGAAAAGAGTCAGGCAATACAGGAGAGACTATATTCTGAAGAGAGAAAAAGCACCAGGAATCATGAAAAGAGATGGCATGACAGCAGAAAAGCATGGAGAAGCTGAGGCAACAGAGAAAAGCAGCAAACTTCCACGAGGCATCCCTGACTCCCTAGTAGTGGAGAAGCTGAGGACAGAATCCCAAGGTAAGCAAAAGGCACTGGCAACAGACGGGCAATTCTAGCTGTGGGCATTTGGTGAGACAATGTCTACTCCTGGGTGGAAGGCTTTCTTCCATAAAGAAAGGAGCATTCTGTTCCTCCTCTTATGTTGGAAAGCTACAGCAAGATTGCGTCTTGAGAGAGGGCCTATTGTTTGAGACTGAGATACTCTGGGATCTTGAAAGTAAGGAAAAATCATGGCTCAGGAGTCTTGGGATACCCTGCTACAGTGTCTGGGTGGGGTGGTTTGTAGAGGAACAGGGTCTGATGTTGTCCTTTACAGAAGTTCAAGCAGTGGGAAGCACAAGCAGTGAAGAACCTGGTGATGCTTAAACCCCTGTGTTGTATGAAATAAGCCAGACTGAGAAGAAAATATCTCATGTTCTCTCCCATTTTCAGAATCTAGACCTAAAAAATAAAGTGAATGATGCCAGAGTAAAACAGGGGAACTTGTTGGGGGCTAGGGGATCTGTGGGAGAAGGGAGGTGAATGGGAGAGGAATATGATTGAAGTACTTCCTATGCATATATGAAAATAGTATAATGAAATTCATTAAACGTTGTTTATAAAACAGGGGAGGAGGGAAGAAGGAGTAATAGAGAAGACAATTTGATCAAAGAATGTTATATGTATATATGGATATATCACAATGGAACCCCTTTGTATAGTTCAAATACGCTAAGAAAAAAAGAAGTAAAAGGAGGCCTCTGGATTGGAATTTTAGTGGGAGTCAATGGTGAGAAAATGCTACCTGTGCTGTTGAGTTCCCCCAGCCCATAAGGCTGCTCATGCCTTGCATAAGGTCTAAAGCAAGCTATATTATTCATGCCACATTTTTCTGTTCACACATTTGACAGTTTCTAAAAGAAAAACTAAAAATAGTAGTATTTATTAGATACTTTTCCATGTTATAAAATACATTACTTATTGTAAGACCACACATAAACTTTAAATTAAGACCTTCTGGATGGATTATTATAAATGACTGAAATACTTTTGTACAATCATCTGTAATACTCATCCCACAAGAATTTTCTAATGTTTTTCTTCATATTATAGTAACAAATTCCTAAAATAATCTATTCTCTAAGTAATTGCATGGCAATTAACTTGTTTCTGATTAATGTAATATTTGAGAAGGGAATCATGTCTTTTTAGGTAACAATATGTTCTTTACTACTAGCATTTTTCTTAGTTTATTGAGGTAAAATTTATATGCAACTATCACCAAATACTGCATTGATACCCTTTATATTACAAAGTGTGTATCAAGTAAATTGCACTAATATTAAGTGCATAGTTAATTACATTTTTACATATCTATACACTACCTGGTTATGTATGTAACCACAACCGCGATCAAGATTTAGGACATTTCCCTAAATAGTTAACCATTGCTTAAGAGTTGCTCAGGCTTTCCAGCTAACCACTATTCTGATTTCTACCATCATAAATTGGTTTTCCTGTTATTAAACTTCATAAAAATATAATAAAATGTGTCTTTATATGTCTGTCTTCTTTTTATCATCACATAGTTTTGAAGATTCTTTCATGGTGTGTGTATCAGTAATTCATTTGTCTTTGAATACATCAATGAGTATTGGATTCATCTCCTTTCTTATTGAATTATTTTCTGCTTTTAGCTTTTATAAATAAAACTAATATGAAGGGTTTTTTGCATATGCCTGTTGATGTACAACTCCCATTTATCTTGGGTAGATAGCTAGATTGTCCTACAATCTTACTGGGTATGTATAAGGTTAGTTTTAGTAGATATAGCCAAAATGTTTCAAAGCTAATCAAACAATTTATGATTCCACTAGCAGTGCCTGAAAGAAAAATTTCTCCACCATAAAAGTAAGTCTGTTTGGTTTGGAAATAAACACAAACATGCACATACACATACAAACACACCTTCCTCTAAGCTTCTGTTCATCATTTTAGCATTTTTGGCATGGCACTATTTGTTTTTCAATTCAGAAAAGACTGAGATATAGCTACCCAAACATAGCAAAATGAAAGTGGAAAATTTAGGGGAACATATTTTGAATTTTTTCCAAACTCTAATCTAATATTTCTTCAACAAAATAATATTAATGTTCATTCCAACAAATTGAAATCAAGTAAGAATGAAAGTGCATCATGTCATACACCCTCCTTTTCAATGACCTCCACTCAAATCAGCATATTGAAGGTTCAGAGAAATACTATAGTTAAAAAATACACAATTAACTTTATATAATTCATAAACAGTGTTTATGGATTTACTTCATAAACCTATTTAGCCATGGAACTCTATCTGTTAAAGATTATTAATAGCCTTCAAAATAGTTAGTATTTTTGTCTTATGTTATGCCATTCTTTAGAAATACCCTTTGATTTAATGATAATTCATAAATTAGAAATATGTGTTTCCTTGGAAAATAAAAAAGTCAAGAACAAGGTACTTTGGAATAGTATTAAGCTCTTGGGAATAGATTAGATAGTGGTGGTGACGGAGTCAGGGAATAATTACTATGCCTGGCCATTAGATAAAACACAGACATGATATCCTACCCACTGAGGCCCAGCTGGACATCCCTGTCTCTAATTCTCTGTACTTCAAAGCTCCCAGTAGCACATGCATTCTTTTGACATTACATGAGTACATTTGTAATTATACTTTCTAAGTGGATTAATAGATATATGATAAGAGTACCAATTACAACTTCCCTGAATTATCTCTAGTGAGGGCATATGCAAGACGTGAGAAAATATAGAAGGTTACACAGAGAATCCTTCAAAAAAAAAATAAGGAAAAAGCAGAAAGCCACTAAACAAGACAAAGTCTCAGGGTAAGAGCCACCCTTCTCTCAAACCAACAAGGCAACAGAATGGTATGTGTTGTTCAAAGAGGAAACTATAAACTTGAGAAGTGATTAAGGTTTGGGAAGTGAAAGAGAAATGTATCTACCTGAAGCAATTTTAATTTTATTTATTCAGTATCCTTTCTGCAAGAAAGTTACAGAAGTTTTCCCTCATTCTTAAAACGAATTCCATTGAATTTAGTTTAAAATATCAAAAGTAGACCCAGGGATGAATCCAAGAAAAACAGCAGAACTTAAAGAGGAAATGTGAAACTGATTTCATAACTAAGTGTTAGTACTCAGACCTTTTTTTAAAATAGAAACCACGATAAATCCACTGAACACAATTAGTGCAGGGAGTGGCAACCACACTAAAAAGAACACTACTCACAATGAGGTGTCTTAGATACCCGCCTGGAGCACTTACTCTTTTTACAGAGACTACAGTTTGGGTTGAAGAGTACATGATTTCTTGTAACAATTCCATTTGGCATTTTTCACCTGCGTGAACAATTCATTCCCAATTCAACTCAAAGTGCAAATGTAAAATTCACCTACCTGCACAAAACCACATGCTGTGAAGTCCTCAAAAAAGGGCAGACTTGGGCGGTCTTCTCTATAGATGGTGAGTTTATATGTGGTCAGGGTCTTGCCCTCTGCTGGAGATTCGTCCACCAGAAACACTGAGATTTTATTTATTCCTAATCCCAGAGGGTAGTTGGCAAAACTGGCATAGGAAGGGAAGAGGGAGAGCGAGGGAAAATGAATATGAATGTGACCATCACTTATTCAGCCCAAACTGATTTAGTCATGAATATTTATAAATGCCTACATTTTGCATAAAACAGGAAAAGCCTGTACAATTTCAGAAGACACCTAAAATAAGTCCAAAAAATTTAAATCTCTGCTTCGTAGTACTTTTCTATACTGAGTCATCTTGCTGAGCAAGTCATGTCTGCCATTAGCTAAAGTGATTACTAACCACTTGTCAGGGTCCATGTCATCTTAATTAATGCTTTACACAAAAACTATGATGGTTCATAATTTAAATATTGAGACCATTACACAGAACTAGTAAATACACTGCCCAAAATTCTCATGGTAGAGCCAGGTTTGGGACCCAGATTGGTGTAACTTGAATCCTCTTTTCTTTACTGGTCTCTACTGGCTGTCAGGGATGCCAAATGAGTTTCTTTCCCCATGGTACAGAGCTGTGAGTATTTTCCTGCTATGGACATAGTATACAATAAGATCCTATCCTCTGTTCAAAATTACAAATAAAAGTCACTTTTGGTGACTTTCAAAAGTCTTTGTAGAAAAAAAACTCATATGGGATTAGGAAAGATAGTGGTGTGATATTAAGTCCATAGACTGTCACCATAAGGTTCACGTAATGAATCCCTGACTATTCAAAAAATTGAGAAGTTGGCTTGGAGTAGAAAGAGATTACTTTTCAGGAGAAACTCCAGCAATCTGAAAATATGAAGATGACAAGAAACAGAATTTCCTTAATGGATTCTCCTAATATTTGATATAGCAGGCTCTTCTCCTGTTTCCACATCATTACAAAGATTAATTGCAGATTATTATAGTTCAGTACAGCAGCAAATGTATTCTTTTTAAGCACATAAAGCCTGAAAAGGGGAAGGTTTTCACACCAGGGTCCTCCTTCCATATGATCCTGTAGCTCAGATTTCCTGAGCCACTTTTCAAGGTAGATCAAATGTCTGCTCCCCAGTGAGATGTCTGAACTCAGCCACAACCAGATCCCTCATACCTTGGCCCTGCTGGCTCCTGCAGGTGCACCTTGCACTGACACTTGGAAGTCTCTGCTCCAATCGTTACTGTTACCACATCAAATGGTACCTCAGTGTAATAATCTTTGATCTTTGGATTAAATTCAGGATTTAGGTCCAAATGTGGATGTGTGAAGATCTGCTTGATATGACATGGTGTGTCATTATCTGTTACAAAAACAAAAAGAATGACAAAGACAACTATGAACTGGACACTTTTAAATCACGAATGATCAAGATGGGTTTTTTTTCCCTCTAATTCCTTTGTACATTTTTAGTGATCACTGCCTTTCTGTGGTCATTGCAGACTGTCCATTCAGCACCCTGGTCATAGATGGTTTGTGGTTTCAGCTGGATTTTTAGTATTGTAGAACTTCCATGTAACAGCTGTTGACTTTAGCTGGTGTTATATAGATGGTAATTTTTGCTCAACACTTGACAGTTTAAAGGCACAAAAGGTGGGGGAAATGTCTCTCCTGTGGGCTGATAACATTTTTATGATGTCTATGAAGTATATCAAGCAACAGTGAAAGCAGAGGCAATGGCTCTGTTGGTGGTGGCAGAAGGGAGCCAGCAGGCATGTGGGAAATTTCTTAATGAGAAGTATCATAAAACTATTATTAGGTTGACTCAGTAGTTCATAGGCACTAGGGTGGAGCAGAGAATATGGTCTCTAGTACTGTACCAGACACTCAGATAAAAATATCCTCATCCTGAAACCCTTTCCAAGCCATCTCACCATGGAAAAATGTTGTATAGTACAAGAAGAAAATTTTTCTAGAATACAGAATATGACTTTTTACCATTGATTCTAACATGATTAAGAAAACTTTCTCTCAATTTTTACAGCAGTATCTTAATGAGAAAAATGAAAAATAGCTTCAGTGGCACATACACCACACACTGTTAATTACATTCAGTATGAATGCTTAGAATGAACAAATTAGCCAATAACTTTATAAAATGTTTTTCAAAGAAATACAAGGATTTTGTTTCATTGATTCTTTTCAATAACTAACAGAATTTGAATAAGGATAAATACAGAAAATTCTATAAAAATCAGCAAAATTAAAGTATTCTTGCATCACCTTTGTGTAAAATGTTCAGTTATAAGTAAAAACAGAAAACAACACTGTAGAAACCAACCTTAGGAAAAAGAGATTATTCTGTTAATTGTTGTTTTCCTCCACTTTCATACAACTGTCACCATGATTTTCCTAAAATCAAATCTGGTGATTGGTCTCCAATTTTTAGTGGTTTCTCATCCCTTTCAGAGTAAATGTAAGCTCCTGTTAGGCAGACAAGATATTTCACAAGCCCTTCCTTGTCTTGCTCTCTGTTTGCCTCTCCCATCATGTCATGGACTTTGTGCTTCCATAAGACGCAAATTTTATATCTTTTGATGGATGTAGAAATGCACCACTAAATATATGGCAATGGTCCATCAACCATATGGGTGTTTTATTTTACTTTTGAGAATCAGATCTCAGACTATCTGCCATCATGCATAAAAACACTTAAAATGAATAAATTACATATTTCTGTCTGCAACTGTATGGCTTTCTCAGCTGGTGGAAGCCAAAACTATGCAAGTATACACCAATAATAATAATAATACAATAAATACATAGTATTTTCATTTTGTGGAAAGTTTTTAACAAAAAAGAGTTGACTCTATTCAATAATTACTCAATAATTCTATTGAATTGGGTAAAGTACTTGCTTAATTTTATGTGTTATCTAAGAAATAACAATTCAACTAAAGATTTTTATCTGGTTGATACATGTGGTGGACTGAAACTATAATTTTCACAATCATACTAGCTTCTGAAATTTTCTTATAATAAAAGAAAAATATAACACTGAGAGTAGAGACTGCAATCTCCTCAATGAAATTGATGCAAAATTCCTCAATAAAATAATGGCAAACTAAATCCAACAACATATCAGAAAGATCATACACCATGACCAAATCAGCTTTATCCCAGGGATGCAGGGATGTTTCAACATATGCAAATCATTAAATGTAACACAGCACATTAACAGAAGTAAAGACAAAACCCACTTGATTATAATAGATGCAGAAAAAGCCTTTGATAAGATTCAAAAGCTCTAATAAAAATAGGAATAGAAGGAATATACCTCAACATAATAAAGGCTATATATGACAAACCTATAACCAACATCATACTTAATGGGGAAAAACTGAAACCATTTACCTTAAAGTAAAGAATAAGACAAGGGTGCCCACTGTCCTTACTCCTATTCAACATAGTCTTGGGAATTCCTAGCCAGAGCATTAAGGCAGAAAGCAGAAATAAAAGGATTACAAATAAGTAAAGAAGTAGTCACACTATCCCTATTCACAGATGACATGATCTTATATCTAAAAAACCCAAAAAATTCCACCGAAAAACTCACAGACACCATAAGCAGCTTCAACAATGTAGCAGGATACAAAATCAACTTACAAAAATCAGTAGCCTTTCTCTACACCAACAATGAACAGATTGAGAAAGAATATAGGAAAACAATTCCATTTACAATAGTCTAAAAAAAAAATCAAATACCTAGGAATAAACTTAACAAATGATGTGAATGACCTCTACAAGGAAAACTGCAAACCATTGAAGAAAGAAATAGGAGACTACAGAAAGTGGAAAGATCTCCCATGCTCATGGATTGGCAGAAATCAACATAGTAAAAATGCCTCTACTACCAAAAGCAACCTACATGTTCAATGCAATTACCATCAAAATCCCAATGACATTCAACAGAGAGATTAAAAAAATCAACCCTAAAGTCCAATTGGAAACACAAAAGACCATGAATAGACAAGGCAATACTGTGCAAAAATAGCAATGCTGGAGGTATCACTCTACACAACTTCAGCCTATACTGCAGAGCTATAGCAACAAAAACAGCATGATACTGGCACAAAAACAGGTATGAAGACCAGTGGAATAGAATAGAGGACTCAGATATGAATTCATGCAGCTACCCCCACCTTATTTTTGATAAAGGTGTCAAAAACATGCGATGAAGAAAAGACAGCCTTTTCAATATATGTTGCTGGAAAAACTGGTTATCTGCCTGAAGAAAACTGAAACTAGATCCATATTTGTCACCCTGTGCAATTGTCAACTCAAAGTGGGTTAAGGACCTTAATATCAGACCTGAAACCTTGAAGCTAGTACAGGAAAGAGCAGGGAATACACTGAAACAATAGGCATAGGCAATGACTTCCTCAATAGAACTCAAGTAGCTCAGCAACTAAGAGAAAGGATCAACAAATGGGACTACATGAAATATAAGAACTTCTGCACAACAAAATAAATGTTCTTTAAATCGAAGAGGCCACCCACAGAGTGGGAGAAAATCTTTGCTAGCTATGCATCAGACAAGCAACTAATAACCAGAATATCAATGGAGCGCAAAAAACAAAACTCCCAAAAAAATCAATGACCCAATAAAGAAATGGGAAACTGAACTAAACAGAACTTTTTCAAAGGAAGAAGTCCAAATGGCTAAAAAAAAAACATAATGAAAAAATGCTCACCATCCCTGGCAATAAAGGAAATGCAAATCAAAACCACATTAAAATAGCTACTGTCAAGAACTCCACCACCACCAAATGCTGGCAAGGATGTGGGGGAAAAGGAATCCTCATACAGTGCTAGTGGGAATGTAAGCTAGCACAACCACCGTGGAAAACAATATGGAGCCTTCCTTAAAAAGCTAAATATAGATCTGCCATAAGATCCAGCAATAACACTCCTGGGGATATACCTGAAGGATGTGAATCATGTTACAACAAAGGCACCTGCACACCCATGTTTATTGCAGCACTGTTCACAATAGCTAAGCTATGGAAACAGCCAAGATGCCCCAATACTGACGGATGGATTAAGAATATGTGATACTGATACACAGTGGAATTTTACTCAGCCACAAAAAGGAATGAAATTTTGTCATTTGCAGGTAAATGGATAGAACTAGAGAACATCATCTTCAGTGAAGTTAGTCAGGCTCAGAAGGCCAAAAGCTGCATGTTCTCTCTCATATGCAGATTATAGACTTAAAATAAATGCAGCAATATTATGGGACATGAGTTACACTAAGGGGAGGCCACAGATGAGAGGGATAGGACAAGGGAAGGAAACGAAAAACTTGAATGTTGTTGATATGCTCATGGTATAGGAATGAATATAAGAATCTTAAACTGGCCAGGGCCACTATGGGAAGTGGACTAGGGAGGAGTGAAGAAGACTGACAGAGATAAATCAGTTAGGGTTATAATACATATATGCATGGAAACAACACAAGGAAATTTCCTGTGTAGTGCTGTTTATCTCAAACTAGCAAAAACTCCATGCTTCTTTTTTTAATCTTTAATGTTTTTTTCTTCTACAAAACCAGAAGACAGGAGGGTGGAACAGGTTCTGCCTGGGGGAGGGGTTGCAGTAGTGGGAGGGGGGAGGTGGAGGGGAAAGGGGTAGGAGGATGAATACGATGCAAATAATGGGTACACTTATATGTGAATGTAAAAATGATACCTGTTGAAACTGTTCCAGGAATCAGGGGAGGGAGGGATGAAAGAGAGCAGTGGAGGGGGTGAATTCAAGTATGATATATTTGATACATTGTAAGAACCTTTGTAAATGCAACAATGTACCCACACTTAGCCCAACAATTAAAAAAAGATCATAACTTTTAATTTGAATTCAACCACTTATCAATAATTCATTCAATTCTTAATCAGAGTTTTTTTCCCCTCAACACTATGTTCAGGGTACTGAGATAAATTCAATAAAATAAGATGTCACTAGTTGTGAGAGTTGACTCAAATACATGCTGTGGACCCAATTCAACATGAAATAAACTAGACTGGGGTAAGCACTGTGTTTTGGAGAGACCTATTGCCTAGACATGAAGGGATTATAAGTGCTCATACTATGCTTTAGTGCTTGGAACCTGTTAAATGAATAATAAAACACTAGTTTTTTTTCTTAAAATGAAATATCGAAGGTATACATTATAGAATACAGTCTTATACAGATTCACTGAGAGTTCATTTTCCTGCTGTTTATACTTTTTACATTTCACTTAAATAGTCACAGTTTTCAACGGGGCTTGCACTTGTTATAAACTGACCCTCAACCTTACATCAGAGGAAATAAATGTACAGTTATTTTTCTTAGCCAAGATTTTAGCAAGTGCTTAGTTTTGGGTTTCTTCAGAAACTCTCCACCTCTGGCTTAGATGCTGGATGCCAGACCCCTGTTTGCAAGTTGATTTAGTTCTGACATCATCTTCAACTGAATCATCAGGGTTGCTGCCTACAAACACCTGGTGTTTCCTTGGCATCTTTCCCAGCCCAGTCCCAACTTGTCTCAGGTCAACTTACCTTAGGTCTACAGAGAACCCAGTGTGACAGATGATGGTGGCAGTGTGTTTAACCTATTTGGCAAGTGTACATGGAAAAGCTGTTTGATGTTTTGGTTACTTTTAATGGATTTCTTTTAACTACAGAATTTTATTTCTCTCTCCAGGAATAATCATAACTCATATTAAGCATAAAAACAGCCTAGACTCTTAAGATAACCCCACCTGTTCTGAGCCATCAAACAGGGTGTTTTTTTTTTTTTTTTAAATCTTAGGTCATATTACCAACATAGGAAGATTCATTATGAAGATCCAGGTAGGACAGTTTTTATCAGGATAAAAGCATGAACAAAGCTGAAGAGATTATGTGACATGTTCACCTCATCTATACCATGTTACCAGGGAACTGAAATTTTTAAAAATGAGATCATCCAGTGCCATCCTTTCCTCCCACCAATGAGAATACAGGAGGTCAAAAAAGTGCTGTCACTTTTCCATGTTGCATTGAGCCCAGGGCCTCTCACAGAGTAGATGCTCAATATTTGTTCATCCTAATTTAGCTCCTAGTTTTCTCACTAGTCTTTTCCCACTATATTCTGGGTGTCATATCCCAGGAGAATATAGAAGCATGCAGTTTTCTAGGTTTCTTGGATTGAGCAGTATGTACAAGGAAAAGAGATGAGTCAAATTCTTCCTCTTTTCCAAGCAGCAATACCTCATTTATAATGCTACTTTCTTTAATTGAATGCATTTGTTGATTTTCTTAGTATATTACTCATATATTATTTCTCTGTATACCATGATGTCAGTGATAGTGCTAAAATATTATGAAATGACTTAATTTGCATTTTATAAAATAACAGTAGATTTTATTAAATTAGAAGACATCTATTTATAATAAATTATTCTTAAATTCATTTTTTAAAAAATTTTATATTTTACTGGAATTGATTTTTATTTGTGAAAGACTATGTATACATTTCAGCAGTAAATCTAGACAGATAAATTGATAGAGATATATTTTAAAAGGTATAACTGTTCCACGAAATAGAAAGGGAAGGAAAACTGCCAAACACATTTTATGAAGCCACTATTACACTTATCCCAAAACCAGGCAAAGACACCTCCAAAAAGGAGAACTATAGGCCAATCTCCTTAATGAACATTGATGCAAAAATCCTCAACAAAATAATGGCAAACCGAATTCAGCAACACATCAAAAAGATTATTCACCACGACCAAGTAGGCTTCATCCCAGGGATGCAGGGGTGGTTCAACATACGAAAATCAATAAACGTAATAAACCACATTAACAGAAGCAAAGACAAAAACCACTTGATCACCTCAAGAGATGCAGAAAAAGCCTTTGATAAGATCCAACATCATTTCATGATAAAAGCTCTAAGAAAACTAGGAATAGAAGGAAAGTTCCTCAACATTATAAAAGCTATATATGACAAACCTACAGCCAGCATTATACTTAACGGAGAAAAACTGAAACCATTCCCTCTAAAATCAGGAACCAGACAAGGATGCCCACTATCTCCACTCCTATTCAACATAGTACTGGAATTCCTAGCCAGAGCAATTAGGCAAGAAGAAGGAATAAAAGGAATACAAATAGGTAAAGAAACTGTCAAAATATCCCTATTTGCAGATGACATGATCCTATACCTTAAAGACCCAAAAAACTCTACTCAGAAGCTTCTAGACATCATCAATAGCTATAGCAAGGTAGCAGGATATAAAATCAACATAGAAAAATCATTAGCATTTCTATACACTAACAATGAGCAAACTGAAAAAGAATGTATGAAAACAATTCCATTTACAATAGCCTCAAAAAAATCAAATACCTAGGTGTAAACCTAACAAAAGATGTGAAAGACCTCTACAAGGAAAACTATACACTTCTGAAGAAAGAGATTGAGGAAGACTATAGAAAGTGGAGAGATCTCCCATGCTCATGGATTGGTAGAATCAACATAGTAAAAATGTCGATACTCCCAAAAGTAATCTACATGTTTAATGCAATTCCCATCAAAATTCCAATGACATTCATTAAAGAGATTGAAAAATCTACTGTTAAATTTATATGGAAACACAAGAGGCCACGAATAGCCAAGGCAATACTCAGTCAAAAGAACAATGCAGGAGGTATCACAATACCTGACTTCAAACTATATTACAAAGCAATAAATAAAAACAGCATGGTACTGGCACAAAAACAGACATGAAGACCAGTGGAACAGAATAGAGGACCCAGATATGAAGCCACACAACTATAACCAACTTATCTTTGACAAAGGAGCTAAAAATATACGATGGAGAAATAGCAGCCTCTTCAACAAAAACTGCTGGGAAAACTGGTTAGCAGTCTGCAAAAAACTGAAACTAGATCCATGTATATCACCCTATACCAAGATTAACTCAAAATGGATCAAGGATCTTAATATCAGACCCCAAACTCTTAAGTTGATACAGGAAAGAGTAGGAAATACTCTGGAGTTAGTAGGTATAGGTAAGAACTTTCTCAATGAAACCCCAGCAGCACAGCAACTAAGAGATAGCATAGATAAATGGGACCTCATAAAGCTAAAAAGCTTCTGTTCATCAAAAGAAATGGTCTCTAAACTGAAGAGAACACCCACAGAGTGGGAGAAAATATTTGCCAACTATACATCAGACAAAGGACTGATAACCAGAATATATAGGGAACTTAAAAAACTAAATTCTCCCAAAACTAATGAACCAATAAAGAAATGGGCAAGTGAACTAAACAGAACTTTCTCAAAAGAAGAAATTCAAATGGCCAAAAAACACATGAAAAAATGCTCACCATCTCTAGCAATAAAGGAAATGCAAATTAAAACCACGCTAAGATTCCCTGTTAGAATAGCCATCATCAGCAACACCACCAACAACAGGTGTTGGCGAGGATGCGGGGAAAAAGGAACCCTCTTACACTGTTGGTGGGAATGTAGACTAGTACAACCACTCTGGAAAAAAATTTGGAGGCTACTTAAAAAGCTGGACATCAATCTACCATTTGATCCAGCAATACCACTCTTGGGGATATACCCAAAAGACTGTGACACAGGTTACTCCAGAGGCACCTGCACACCCATGTTTATTGTGGCACTATTCACAATAGCCAAGTTATGGAAACAGCCAAGATGCCCCACCACTGACGAATGGATTAAGAAAATGTGGTATCTATCCACAATGGAATTTTATGCAGCCATGAAGAAGAACGAAATGTTATCATTCGCTGGTAAATGGATGGAATTGGAGAACATCATTCTGAGTGAGGTTAGCCTGGCCCAAAAGACCAAAAATCGTATGTTCTCCCTCATATGTGGACATTAGATCAAGGGCAAACACAACAAGGGATTGGACTATGAGCACATGATAAAAGCGAGAGCACACAAGGGAGGGTGAGGATAGGTAAGACACCTAAAAAACTAGCTAGCATTTGTTGCCCTTAACGCAGAGAAACTAAAGCAGATACCTTAAAGCAACTGAGGCCAATAGGAAAAGGGGACAGGAACTAGAGAAAAGGTTAGATCAAAAAGAATTAACCTAGAAGGTAACACCCACGCACAGGAAATCAATGTGAGTCAATGCCCTGTATAGCTATCCTTATCTCAACCAGCAAAAACCCTTGTCCCTTCCTGTTATTGCTTATACTCTCTCTACAACAAAATTATAAATAAAGGCAAAATAGTTTCTGCTGGGTATTGAGGGTGGGGGGAGAGGGAGGGGGCGGAGTGGGTGGTAAGGAGGGGGTGGGGGCAAGGGGGAGAAATGAACCAAGCCTTATATGCACATATGAATAATAAAAGAAAAAGGAAAAAAAAATAAAAAGAGAACAGCTGAACTTGCAAAAAAAAAGGTATATATTGTCAAAACAAACTTACTATGTAGAATTCTTATTTTTTGCACCATGTGCTGCAGGTCAGGAGTTTTGGACAAAGAATGTAAAGACCCAGCTTCTCTATTCAGTTCAGGAACTAACAGCCCTGTGACCTTGGAAAAGGCACTTAAACTTTTTCAAAGATATAGTTGTAAGACCATTGTAATAACTTTGATCAGATTGAATAAAATTATTTTTAAATTTAAACTTAAATTTACATAAACTTAAAATCTATATATTTCTCATTATTTTACCTTGGTAAAAAACTTCATGAATTTTAAGAAAATAAATTGAAAATTTGCTTAACAACTCTTACTGTTATAAAGAAAATTCTACTCAGTACCCTCCATCATAGCAGGAAAGAAATCACTTCCGGGTGATGAGACCCCCTAAAGACCAATGGATAAGGCTGATGAGCCAAACTCTCCTTCAATATAAAGCCTTAGAGTTGCCCAGGCCTCTCAAAATGATAATAAAGAGAAAGCATAATATTTTCTGCACAAAAGTGGAAAATTTTAAATGTTTTTATGCAAAACTGATATCTATTTAATAAAAAATATAACTTCTCAAAATTTACTTAAAATAAATTAGCAGCCTGAAGATATCTAAATATGATAAAAATGATTATTTTTCAAAGACAGAAAATCATTCACTATGCTGCTGAAACATTTTAATCTCAACTCACCATTACGGCAATGTATTTTATTTTCATTCATAATTTGTGGAACTGCATCTAGAAAAAAATGTAAATTTTAAATGAAAACTATGAATTAAAGAATTAATATGTATTAACTTATAGTTAATTCAATAAAACATACTTTTTTATTGTTTACCTTTTATTATATCAGTGAATGTCTAAAGAAAGGTAACAACTATAATAAAAACAAAGATATTTGATTCAAAGCTCAGAAGAGTGATTATTTCAAATATGAAAAACCAAGGGAGCAAATGAATGACATAAATTCCATCTGTTGCTTTTAGGTGATCTGCTTTTTTAAAAAATGCTTTTATTAGTATATGATAATTACACAGAGGGGTTTCATTGTAGGTGATCTTATTGAAGTTTCTTCTAGTTCTATGATCCTATGGCTTTTTATTACCCAAAACCATCAGAATTCAGAAATTCTATCTAGTTGGTTTCATTTTTATTCTAAGTTTCTGAATTTAACCAAATATCAATCAGAAAACCCCCAATAAAGATTTATGGAATAAATGAATGAATAAAAATCAATCTAATTCATTCATACGTTTAAAAAGAAAACAATGGTGGGAGAAAGAAAGGCAATGGTCAGTCTGGTTATTATTCATTGCCATGATCCATTCTGCTCAATCGGTGGTTCTCGAACTCTTCAAGCTCATCTATTGGAGACTTGTTAAAATGCCAGTTGCTGGGCTGCACCCCAAGATTCAGATTCAGGGGATCTGAATCTCTCGTTGCAGATGACACCAACACGTGTGGTAGCACTAAGAACCACTATATTAGATTAAGTCCTGGGTTTCAATAGGAAAACTTCAGATTTCTTATTATTTTTTAAGGGTAGGTACATGAGTGGGCAGGTCTTTTCACTTTTTTCTTCTTAATATTAGAAATATTTTCTTCTCTTGTAACAAAATCTTAGATATTCTTTAGAAGGAAAAAATGAGAAATTAGAGATAAGCCAGAGAGTGAAATCCCAAACACCATTAAATTTTCCTGGGGTTCATGTTGCTAGGAGCCAATTAATTTGGGGCATTGAAAATGGAACCCAGAGCTGTGCTAAGCACAGCTCCACCACTGAGCTACAGCCCAGTCCAAGGATAACTCTGAAAGCATTTCTTATGTTTTCAAACGGCCCTTAATAACTTACCTAATTTGTACACCCGCCAGCATGATGAAAACACTTGCATCCCTACTTTTTTCCCAATTTTACTGTTTTTAAGAAGAAAAATGCAATGTTGAGGGAAAGTAGCTTTTCCTTGCTGAATTTTCATTTTTCATTGCTTATGAAGGTAAACATATTTATTTACTTTTTGGTCAAGCAATACTTATATTTATGTTGAATACGTGGGACTATATGCTTTTACCTTTTTTATTTCCAATTGCATCAAATAACACTTGTGGTTTTTCAATGTTCTCATCTTCTGGAAAAGAATTCCTGCAAATACAGTGAAGTAACAACTCTGCATCAGTGAAGTGAATGAAATTCATGGGAATTACAACAAACACACTATCTCTTCTTCAGTGTGGGCATGGTTACTTTGATGAAGACAAACACTTTCCAGATTTCATTCCCCAAAGCTAGCAAACTACCCTCCAACAAGGTACATGGAAATCTCATCATCTCTAATCAACAGAAGTACATTTGAAGAAAACCAGGGCAATAAGTCACTCTTCAGACAAAACCTGAGCAATCTTAGCAAGCCTGAATCTAATTGAAGTGATTCAAGATTACTATTGAAAGCTCTGGCTAGCATTACATAGCTTTGAATCAAAAAGGCTTGGAAGGCTGAAACACAGTCTGAGAATACATACAAAACTGGAGAAACCCAGTTGTATCATGAGCAATGACCTAAATTGCCAGGGCTTCTGTCCTTAAACTCATTGATGTTCACTGATCGCTACTGAGAGTCAGTGATGTCTTGGTGTGTTCACCTCATTTTCTCTGTTGCAAAGTTAAATGCTTGCACAGATTGCCCTTTATCTCCTTAAATTTTGGACCAAGCCATCTAAATTAAAGACAGGAAAATTTCTGGTGCTGATGGTAGAGAGCATGGGGTACTGTGGTCCCTGGGTCCATGATGAGACTTTCCTCTGCTAACATAAGCAGTAAAATGGAATTTAAAATACTTGCTTTTCTTCATGGGGATACTCCAAGAATTAAATAAAATGACCTGTGTTAAATAATATTTTACACATATTCACTGTGACAGATACTGTACTGGGTATTTTACTATAGCAGAGATAGATAAAGCATATTCAATTCCTTTAAAGTATAACCATCAAACAGGAAATGAAGAAGAATCCACAAATTAAATATAGTGCTAAACTGAAGAGCACAATAATTTTAATGCTGTTTAATTCCTAAAAGTCTTTATTTTCTTTTCTATATACAATGAAAAGTAATGATACCTTAGATTTATTTTAAAGTACTTCCCTTCTCCCAAAGAGTGGGGAAACAGACAAAGCAAGCATGATGTGAGATACAGGTATTCTGTTGTTTTTATTATGTCTTGTTTCTTTCAATGCTGGTACACAACCCAGGGCCTCAAGCATTGCAAGCAAGCGCTCTTACAATGAGACATGTGCAACTAGGAGCCAAGCCAAATTTAAAACAAAATCCCATAAAAAGTCTCCAGAAGATTCTCTCAAAAGACATAGCCCTGAAATGCACATACAGTGATTTTTGGAAATATTGCTATCTTAATGGAATGAGACATTTTGCATACAGAGCCATTTTGCAGAGATTTCTTGGGTAATTTTGTGAATAAATTATTACATTGAGATCATGTGGATTTTCTTGGAAAGCGTTTCCTTAGAGAAAAATACACCTTCAACTTTATTTCTAGCAATGTGAAAATTAGCAGATTATACACAAATACTGAGTTTAAGATTTCTGTTCTATTCAGATTTACTCTAATTTCTTTGGCACTTCTGGATCTTGAGCCTTGGGGCACATGAATGATGCTTATGTACACCTGTTGCTTTTCTGACTTCATCTTTCCTCATCTTGCAAACGATTCATATTAACAAGGACAGATGAAGTCTTTAGATACCAAGGCTAGTGTAGGTATATAAAATTGACTCATTCTGCAGAAAAGCATGGAGGAGACCATTGTGAAGAAAGGTCACCTCCTTGTCTGCATCATGTGCTGGGAAAAAGTCCTGGACTATGAATGAGAAAGCCAGGGTCTTAGTCCCAATTCTATTTGTATTAGCTGTGCATCTTGTACAAATAGCCCCATCTTCTTAGAACCTCAGTTTCCTCATATGTGTACAATAGGTATAAATTCTCTTTGTAATAAGGCATGAATAATTATCAATTCAAATTGAAATTATCTAGAAACAATATAATTTTCTTTTGGCGATACTGGGGTTTGAACTCAGGCCTAATGCTTGATAGTAAGTGCTCTACCACTTGAACCACACCTCCAGCCCTTTTGCTTTAGGTCATTTTTCAGATAGGGTCTTGTGATTTTTCCTGCACCAGCCTGTAACTGTGACCCTCCAACCTCTACCTCCTACAATTCTGGAATTACAGAGTGCATCCCTGTGTCTGACTTGTTTGTTGAGATTGCATCCTGCTAACTTTTTTGCTCAGGAATCCTCAAACCTCTACCCTCCTGATCACCTTCTGAGTAGTGGATTACAGGTGTAAGCAGCCACTGTGCCCACCCCTCCTAATTGCTTTTTGATATACATATAAAATTTTCTTGTATTAGTGTTAACACAGATAAATCTTTCAAGCATATCTTGCTTTCTTTACAAAAGAAAGAAATAAATTACTACCACTGTAGAAGCTACGGTGACCTTTGGTTGGCATAGAAACACAAGAGGTAGAGTGTACTGACATTTACTACAACCCTTTGTCACAACATGAGGCAGGTGAACTACTTTATGTAATGCAACTGGAATATGTGGTAGGTAACATAATCCATATTTTATAGGTGAGGACACTGAGTCTCAGGGGGGTTTGAACCCTGACTCCTTTAATTAATAAACTCTAAAACTGAGATATTTTTTATCCAAGTCTGAATGATTAAAAAAAAAAAACCTTGATCCCTTCTGATTATACTGACCGTTATCAGCAAGTTTCCTTACTGCATTGAAATCCAACCTTCTGGTTTTAAGATCAGTGGATTGCTTAACCATAACACATACAAACTTAAGCAAACTTGCTGTGAACACATGTTCTAAAGCTTGCGAATCTCCAAGGACCTCACTCAAAGTTAAAAACAATGCTTAAATAGGCTCTTGGGAAATCAAATCTGTTCTCCCCTCTCTATCATGTTGAGTAAGACAGTCTTGGGTTCCCCCAGCAAGTGCGAATTAAAAACAGAGTGGCTTATGGCTATCTTATTTAAAATGTAGTTTTCAAACACACAAATAGAACTTCTTGTTAAGCCTACAACTTCCAGCTATTGAGGCCAAATTTATATAGTTGTGGCAATTAAAGTAAATTCTGATGCTGAGAGGTGTTCTAAGAAGCGTCTAAATATATGACTATTTGTATTTTCTAATTATAAGAGTTTCTCATAGAACTCTATTCACTGTCTTCTGAGGCAGAAGGAAACAAAATGTAAACCAATAGAAAGGAAGCCATTCACAGGGGTGACAGCAAGAGACATAAATGAGTGTAGCATGTCCATTAGGTTTTCATCTCCTAGGAGGCTTAGGATTACTTCTGTTTTTCTGGCAGTAGAAAAGTCAAATACTCCCTTAATTCCATTCGTATTAAAAAACAAAATAAAACAGACACAACCTTAGGTGTTCCCCTAATAATATTAATATCTCACTTGCCCCATCTCTTTCTCCCATTACTACCTCTCATTAGTGGGAGATGAAAAACTACCTTCTAAAATTAAAACCATAAAAAAACAGAATATATGTTAATAAACATAAATAAATTTTGCCCAGAATAAAGTCATGCCTTCAAGAAGTCCAAATAAATACTCTGTGTGAGTTCAAACTGATAGTTCAAATATATGTGTGTGTGTGTATTTATATATAATACATATGATATATATATGCATATATACAATACATATGATATATATTATATATACATATAGACAATACATATGATGATATATATTATATGTACACATATATAATACACATGATATATATATCATATATATGATATGATATATATAATATATATATAATATATATATGAAACTAGATCAAATTTTATTTTTGAACATCACATTAAAGTAGAGTCAAGTCTTGGTCTGAAAAACTTGGATATATTTTCCCTACAGTGTTTGAAGATCACTAGAATTGTTATGGTTTTGATGCCTTAATGTAATTTATTTTCCAGAGCATGAATTTTTGGACACATTTCTTTTTTATTGCTTACTTTAAATGTAGGCAAAGACTTCTGAAATCAATCTTTATACTTGAGATTTTTTGATTGCACAATTCAAAATTTGTGGCTATCTTACCATTCCAGTGGATGTAGCTGTGCCTTTTCATTCATAAGCCCAAATTGTTCAAACACATTTAAAAGAGACTGGTATTGGGTCAGGACTGAGCCAGGTTTTCCTATAGGACTTGCCATGTCATAAAAATCATGCAGCAGAGATTGAATCCCAGGAGTTTGGGATGGGAAGAGCTGAGAAGAAATATCAAACAAGAAATGTCAGCATAAGTTTGGAAAACAAGTTGGAATGTAGTATTATGAGGAAAGTCTATAGTTAGATATTCCTTAAAAAGTCAGATATTTACTAAAATTCCATTGTTCGGCATTGTAATCTACTTTTCTGAGCACTGTCAAAGTAGATACCAATGTTTTATAAGGTACTAGTTTTGTGGATGATCTTATTTCCAAATGGGATGAGATCCTTTACTGAGCAGAGATGGATTTTTCTTTTCTGCTATAGATACCTGAAAACAGCTAAATAATGAAGGGAGTCAGGCAGCAGGAAAAATCCTCTTTTGTTATAAGTGAATTGTGCCAGGGTGAGAAATATTTATTTCACACATCCCCAAAGAAGGAAAGCTAAGGGTATTCACTTTCTGCTTTGGGAGTCAGGAAATTGGGAGTTTTCCCTTGCTCCTGCACAATAATTATTTAGTTCTTCAAATTGTGCCGAGAGATTTCCTCTACATTATCTTGAATGATGAATTCCTGAAGGATGAGTCTCTTTATCTTTCTACAGTATTGAGCCAAACTATCATGAATATAATACTTGCTATGTATAAATTAATTTAAATAATAAATTTATCAATTAAATCATCTTTGGGGAAACAAGCTTACTTTAAAGCCTCTAAAATATGGGGCTAAATTATAAAACCAAAATCAAACATTCATTAACTTAGTTAACTGGTTTTAAGTAGCATATATACATAGGTTTTTTTTAATTAAAAATTAGAGATAAGGGCAGAACAGGCTCTGCCTGGAAGTGAGGGGAGGAGGGGGTAAAGGGTTGGGAGGAGGGCACGGGGGAGAAAAGACCCAAACAATGTACGCACATGTGAATAAATGAATAATACAAATTTTTTTTTAAAAAAAGGCTTGAGTGCTAGGGGATGGATCAACAAACATGAGGCTCTGAGTTCAAACCCCAGCAACTGCAAAAAATGTTTGAGCCAAACATCAGATTAATAATGGTTTAATAACGAACTTTTAAATATACTATTTTAATAGGTCTCTTCTGGAGATGAGTACTAGTGGGAGGGGCACAGGCATAAGGAAAGGAGGAATGAGGGTGAATATGGTGGATGTATTTTGTATCCATGTATGAAAATAGAAGAATGAAAACTGTTGAAGTTGTTCCAAGAAGAAGGTCGTAGGGGGGAAGAGGAGAACAATGGAGGTGGTAAATCTAACCAAGGCATATTGTAAACATATGTAAATATCACAATGTATCCCCCTGTACAGCTACTATACGTTAATAATACATTTTTTTTCTTTTGATGGTCCTGGAGTTTGAACTTAGGACGTCACGCCCACTGGGCAGGAGCTCTACCACTTGAGCCACTCTGCCATCAAATAACACAATTTTTAAAAATACTGTTTTAAAATTATATTTTATATGAATAAAAATTAGGTAAAAATACAAATTCTATATAATCTATATATTGAACTAAAGTACTGAAAATAGGTATTCATATGTTATAAATTATCTTTTATAATTGACCAACATATTAATAGAATCCAAGACAATACATAGAATAGAAAAAAAATGTGTCCTTTGAAAAGCTGAAGCCAGTAGCAATTCTATAATTATTAACATCTTCTTTCTTTGCCAGTTACAACAAATTAAGATTTAGGTGGTTTTCTAAAATCTTATGTTCGATTATATTTTACTTTCACAAACTAAAAGGGTATAATAAGAAGTAATAAATATTGGCTCCGTGGAAATGTCCCAAAGCTAAAAGCAGAATGTTTTAGAAAAATGTTGACATTTCTCTTGAGAGCTGTCAAATACTGGCAGCTATACATATCCCGTATTCTTTTACCTTTAATAAGTTATGCAGTATTTGCAAGTTCTTAACATAAAGCACAGAAATCTTGTTGTTTAGCTCTCTGAAAGGAAGAAAGAAGGTTACAAAGGTTTATGTTTTCTGCAGAAATATCTTTAGTTTGAAGGCAAAAACTGGCATCTTATGGCTTCTCCACTATAATCTCAGAAATCAAGAATCAAATGTCACTTTTGTTAATTTACCAGTTGGAATTGACCCAGGCTCCTAAGTTCCTTTATGAAAGTCACAATTGAGTCAATTTCCTCTAAAGACAGACATTGGTTTAATTCCTTTTCATAGTTTTCACCCTATATTAGGAAGAAAAAAAAGCCTTAAGCAATTGCTAAAAGTCAAATCCTCTTTACTCCTGTTGCTTCCCACTTCACAAATGAAATGTTGAACTCTATAAACAGCTAAGCTAATTAATGTTGCAAAATGAACTTGTCACAACGATGTGTGAATATAAGAGAACTTTATATTTCATAAGGCAGACCTGGATGGAATAGCTCAATGATGTTTTGATAGTGAGGTTGGGGAGGTGAGTAGAGGAGAGCAGAACGTGTGTGACAACCAGTTTGGGAAGATTTTCCTATGGCCTTCAGGGCTTTAGAGGTGAGAGCCTCAAATGAGGCATGAACCCCATGTGTGGTATATTACCATTGTGGAGTTTCACAGCCTCTAGTAAGCAGACCTCTCCAGCCCATGTTTTCCCACATTCATTTTTTTCTTCAGAGTGATGCTGTGCGGAGAGAGGTTTGTGAAAGATATAGTAACATCAAAATCTTTATAAGAACTTTCAGATTCTGCTCTCCCAAATTCTCCAAATATGGGCATCATAAGTGAGAACAATACTCCGTTTGGTAAGCTATATAGAATTTTTTATACATCAAGAAAAGTAATCAGTGTTACTCAGAAGCACTATACACCATTCATCAGCATTAGCCAAACATGTTAAGCGTTACAAGTGCTTCCCATGCTATCACTCAAGTCCCTTGATATGCACTCTGCTTTTGTAGAGACTCAAATGTCACTTTTATTAATTTGGAGCAAACCCTGCTATTCTAGACGGCCTCAAAAAGTTCTAACATTCCCTTTGAAGTATTCTCTAATCTATAATATGCATTATTCATAAGATTGCCACAAACATTCCTTAAGAATCACGATCTGCTTGACTTCATTTTCAACCCATAATTTTATCAGTCATTCTCTTGAACAATTAGTTGAAATAAAAATAATATTGGTTCTCAGGTCAGGAAAAGTTAGGAGAAGTGATATGACAGATATCAAATAATTTCAAATAAATTGTCAAATTACTTGATTGTACAATAAGGAAAACGGAACCTTCTAAATAATGACTTGAAAATATTTGTCAGCATACAAATGTGCACTTACCTTAAGTACGCCTGATCTGTAAAGTCTCTGAAATATCTCAGAAAATAGGGAAAGTGAAGACTCATTGGAGAAGAGAAAATTGAAAGTATCTTTTACAAGGAATTCTTCCATAGTTTGGTCCTCAAAATCCATATTACCATCATCTTGAAAGTGAAAATGCTCATGCACCTTTGGAAGAATGAAAACCCAGCAAATAATTTTCAATGGAATTACTTCTAATGCACAATTTATTCCAGCTGGATTGCAGGTCAGAACTGACATCTAGTGGTCTTTTTGGAGGTCAACAGCTTTATAAATGTGAGTAATGTTCTTTTGAAGATACAATTTTTTTAATGTATAAGAAAATTAGCTAATGTATATTTCAGAAAAGTATGTATTGCCTTTCATGAATAGAGACTCTTCAATTATAAGGCGTTTCAAGATGAGCTAGTGAGACTTTATAATACATATCAAAAAACCATAGTAAATTAGATATGTGTGTAAAATAATGAATAAATGACCACTAAAAGATGTCATATCATAAGTCTCAAAATTTTACAGATAAATCTTGAAACTACTGAACCAAATATCTGTAATTGGTTTCTCTGTAGTATAGTTTTAAAACAAATAAATGCTACCTGAAGTTGAATTCTTGTTATCTATGGTTTTATTTTGTCCTTCCTGCTCTATAATCAAAGGAATCACTTTCTACAGACTAATTGAATCATTTTTTTATCTCCTTGTCTTTGAGGGTTATTTCTGGAGAGATGTACTAAAGGAGTTTATTTAATTCAAGAGAAAGGAAGAAAATCAAAGTGTACAAAAATAGTCTTCCATTTATATATATTTATACCAGAAAAAAAATTTTAAATACCCATGGCTTTTTATTTTTTAGTTTTTTGCAGTGCTTGGGTTTGAACCCAGAGCCTCACGCATGCTGGACAAGTGTTCTATCATGGAGGTACATGTCATTACCTCATGGCTTTTTAGATTAAAATACAGACCAATTTAAAATGGAATGAATGAATGTAAAGAATACATTCACCTGTCCTAAGGTCAGGTGAATACACTGCACAACCTGCTGTTTTCTACTGTCTCAATGTCCTGGTTTTCTCATTAACATATACTTGGCTTTATATATTGTAAATAGTAGTTGGTCTTTAGAAGCATTCATGATTATTCTACTGGCACACACAGTGGGGATTAGAACTGACAGATTCCCTACAGAGTAGTTAATACCCTGGACCACAAAAAATACAAGCCTGTAGTGACATTAATGCAAGTGAAGTAGCTACTTATCAATTGGCTGCTGTAAGTGCAAGTCACACACACACACACACACACACACACACACTTCACCAAAAGTTGGAAGCTCACACTACCCAGGAGGCCTTTGGCATACTCACCTGGAGCACTGTAGGGTTCCTGAAACTGCCGTAACCAATATCAAAAGTTAAAAGCTGAAAACATAATCTACATCTGAAATAAAAACACAAGGTAACATGAAAATATATCTTCTTTGCTACACTTACTCTATTACTTAGTGTTGTATTGTTAATCATTACCATAATAAAAAATAATTATTATTATCATAATTGAAAATGACATGTAACTGATTCATAGATTTGGAATCTGTTTTGTTTCCTACATAAAATGCAAAAATATCCAAGTGATTCACGACACATTAAATTATAAATGAAATTATTCCATGAAAATCTTAATATGGAAAAGAAAGCTCTCCTACAGTTTAGGCACTTATTCACATGTAAAGTGTAATAAATTAATGTACCTCTCTTTTTGGGTATATCAGATTTAAAATTTCGTTGGAACAAAGGCAATAAGTGATACTCAAATAAGCTGATACATGAGGATACAGTTATCGAATTTAGTTAAGAAAGGTTTTGATTTTCTTCTCTGCATTTTGAAATCACTGGGATATTTGAAAACAAATTTATTATGTAGAAGTAAGGTTATACCTAGTTAAAATTTAGTGTATATGATAAAATAGCTGAACTTGAAGGAAAACTGTAGTTTAAAATTAATTTTGAAAATTGTATTTTTATTCCCTGTCACTCTTATGTGAATACTAACAAGTGTGTTACGTGCTCTGTAGTTTCAGGATCTATAGTCATATTTGTTTAGAAGATCATATCTGTATACTGATGTAAAATTTTCCAAGTACCACCAACTGTGATAATTAAGATGTATTTTCACTAGCATTTTCAGAAGATAGGGTTTTATTTAACTAGAATTTATTTTTACCTATAGAAGTTCTTTGGTCCCAAAGTAGATGTCTCTCTGAACACCTCAGCCGCCAGTAGGAGTTTGCTAATAGCTTCCTTCATGTTGTCAAATGCCTGCAGAGGTGAAGTGGCCCTTAGGAATGTCTCAAAAAATGTCTGCAGCTGGAAACAAAGTAAAAGATTCATACATTAAAATGCCATTCTTTACTTGTCTATCATGTTCAAGGCCACTGACCAAATGTGAAGGATCCTTTTGTATGTCTCTTGGTCACTCTCAAAAAAATCTCCCTGAATAGGAAAATTAGATAGTCTACAATTTAAATATTTTATAATTTAAATGGCAAGGTAAAAGAGAAAGGCTTAAATATCTTGTGATTTGAATTACTTTCACAATAATTACTCCATTTCACTTTTCTCATTTCCTAGAACCTAATCATGAAAAGTACAGTGGAATTTACATAACAAGGCTTGTGAACACAACACCCAGCTTTAATTCATGAGTCTACTAACAAGGGAATTGGACTCACCACTCACTGCTTTGAATCTTTGTGTCCTTTCTTTAAAATGGAGTTAATATCTATCAATAAGAAAGTCATGAAGTCAAAGCGAAAGGAAATGTATTTGAAGGCATCTTCTAAGTATGCCATTCAAATCTTCACTTTTTTTTTGGTTATTACCAATTTTCTGCATGTGTCAGAATAAAAACAGCTTTGCAAAGTTGTTTCTTCATTGCATTTTTCTCTGTGAGATCTTCCCCTAGAGAAGTCGAAGAGTCTCAGTGTTCTTATAACATTTTAAGATTTCATGTTCATGCAGAGGGTGAGGCAAAAAGGGAAGATGACATTCAGGGTTAGTCCCCTTGCAAATACTATCATTAATTTCATAAACAGTTATTTTTATTTGTTTAAAATATTAAAAACAATCACAAAACAAAATTACCTTTTAAGAATGCTTAGCATGAAAGTGCAAGTCAATATTTTTAAAAAGTATAAAAGAACCCTCAATGATTCATAGCCCTTCTCTCCATAAACATACTGTTTCAAAGAGGAAGAACAAAAAATATTTTTTGAAAAAACATGCAGCAGGTATTCTATTAATGTTTTTGAAAGAACAGAGTAAATCTATCAGAACTACATAAGATTGGGAAGTAGAAAACATTTGTTGCTATGATAATGAAGGACAAATATTGGTCCAAATTGTCTAAGGAAAATGGTAACTGTATCTGTAAAATGTGCAAGCAAAATTTCCCCAAGATAAACAAATACTGACTTCATAAACTTTTAACAGCTGAAAACCAGAAACCTAATGAGACTACACATTAAGACCATAAGAATATATCATCAACACTTGGCAAGTGGTATGTTTTTCCATTTTACTAAGGAAAATGAATGTAGTGATTGTATAATTAAAAGAAAGCAAATTAATGCAACACTAAAAATGTTAACACCCTTGAGTCAAAATAGAATAACATTACGGTTTCTAAACAAATTGTTCATAATATCTTACTCAGGTCATCATATTATCTAAAAAAGGTTATTAATGATGGTGTTGTATTTGCCCATTTTACATAAGATTAACAATATAACAGAGCTGAAAATGTCTGTGTAGCATATAAGATATAAGTGATTGAATATCAGATTATATCCTCCATGGAGAAGAATAACTGGAAAATTACTTTCTTAGAGTTGTATTCATTCTAATGAGGAAATGGTTATTTCTTAGTTTCTGACTGTAACAATAAGCATTTCATACAGAGTGCTATTTAATTCATTCATCCTATTCAACTTTAGGTGAGAATTCTAGCCCGCACTCTGTGCCTTATGGGGCAAGTTGTTTAACACAGTGGTAGCTCTACTCTATAGACCCTGGAGGCGAAAAGTCCCAGGTTCAAACTTAGTTCTGTGCTACACTTTTGAACCTTTGTGGGATTAATGACAATACCTTTTGTATAGAGTTATTTAAATTATGTAGTATAGTGGCAAGCAAACTTCATATGCCTGAAACAAAAATAGAGTCACACACACATTTAATTATCAAGTTTTAATAAGTCTCTCAAAGAGAACACAACTTTTCTATCACTCCTTACAACTAATTCCCTTAGAGTAGGAGGGAGAACGATTTGTGCTGGATTATACTGCAATTTATTATTTGAATTGTATTTTCTTGGTCAGATTTTATGAGTTCTGTGCATCTCAGTGTTCTCAGATGCACAATGACAGAAGTGTGCTTGGAGATCTCATCAGACAATGTCAAATCTGAAGATATTACTTGGTATTAATTCCATCGAAAGCCATCAGAACCTGAAAAGCACATTTCACCCAGGAGCTTTCTTAACTCAAGCACAAATATCTGAAGAGCAACTTCACCTTGGCTGCTGATTTGAAATAATATATAAGTTCAAATATCAAGAAGACTTCTCTTTATATATTGCATCACTTTTAAAAATATCAAAGTTAAATAAGTAAAAGAATATAAGTTCCTAAGGAAATCTCAAGACTTTTTATCTGACATGTAACTATTTTATGGACTCTAAGTTTTCCCACTTCAATGTGACAATGAAATACAAATTTAATGGAAAGTAAACTGTATAGAAAATGACCTTGTAAGATCATGATTATAAAACCAGACAGCTAAAACATCACAGTTTATTTGTACTTGTGTGAAATTCAAGCAATCACCAGTGAGACATTGACATTTTCACAATATCAATCTATTCAAGCAACTTATTGGAAAACAAGGAGATGGACCAAAATTATCAGTTAAAAATGGTGACAAGAGGAACTGAGGATGAACCTAAAAGCGTTTATAAGAAAGGCTGAACTATAAATTTGACATCTTAAAATACTTCCAAAGTGCTCTAATCATCCACTCATTCCCCTACCTTGCATTTCACACTTGATTAGGCAAATTCGACATGTGTCATTCATTCTGGTTGAACCTGATGACCTTGTCTGCTCTTATCACTAGACTGTGAAATAGTTTAGGCCAGAAACTGTGTCATTTATCTGCATTCCCAGTGCCTAACATACAGTAAGTATTCAGTAAACGTTGAATAAATAATCTTAACTATGACATTACAGAAACCACAAAGACCTTATGACAAAAATTGCTTACTGTCACTTCTGGATGACATAATTTTCAAACGGCACATTGGGCTGAGGGTTGTAGGTCAGCAGCAGAGCATAAGATCATGGGTTTAATTCTTAGCACTTCACACATATGTACACACACACACACACACACATACACAATCCACCATATTTATTTTCTGCTTCCATCTCATGAGAAAGGATGTACATTTTTCTGATGACCTTTGAAAGCTAGAAGATTACAACTGTTTGAGAAGATTTTTGAGGTAATAAAACAATACAACTGAGCAAAACATGAAAACCAATGTTAGTATTTTTTTTAAAGTAATGTCTTTGGCTAACTGGGAAATTATAGTAGAACACTAATATTTCAGTATTTTGGACTTTGGGTAATGTTTGATAGCATTGTACCTTTCTAAAGTTTACTAGAATTTCTGCCAGTGTGAGAAAAATTTTAGTCTTCTTTGATTACAAGAATACTAGTATTAAAAATTATTTTGCTTCAAATTTGTGAAAAGAGATGACCAATATTGCTAGGGGCTAGCCTCAGACCATGATCCTCCAATTTATGCCTCCCATGTAGCTGGGATTACAGGTAAGAGACACTCTGCATGCCCCTGGGCAATGATTCTCTTTAAATTATCCATGTGTCTGTAGAACCCTTGGAAAGTCTTCATGGATCTCCAAGGGCACCTAATATCCAACTTGATGATCACAGTACCCATGTGGCTGGCTCAGAGGAAGGCATCTGCATATATCGTAGGGCTGATATGCTAGTGAGAGTCTATGCCCCTGAGATAGTCTCCTTCTTATTTTAAACAGATGTTACTGGGGGAAGGGAGGTCAGATATCTAAAAACAGGAGGAAAAGATGCACTGTGAAAGGAAGAAAAATAACTAAATTACAAATTTAAGTAGTTATATAATTTTTATTTAGTACACATGTTATCTGACTATAATTCAACATTGTATTTAACACTGACATTATATGGTAGATGTGATTTGTTTTGTTTGTAGTCATAGCAATGTTATGATGACAAGAATGGCACTTATCTCATTTCATAGACGAAGAAACTGAAGGTTGGGAGTGGAGTTACGTGTGTAAGGTTTGATAACCGGGTAATCAATATGGATGTTGAAGACTGCGTGGCTAAAAGCCTCAGTAGTAATTCTGTCCTTGTGCCTTTGATTATACTGCTCTGAGGAATGTGGACACATCCTAAAATTAAGAAGAATGAATCATTTATATTTTACTTCCATGGAAAATGAATTTGAAACTGTCATAATTTTCAAGCACATGCCTTCATAACCACACGTCTAAAATATCAGTTCAACAACTTGAGCGTTCAAGTAGTCTAATTATCTTTTGGAAAAACAAAGATGTTTTGGTAACTTAAATTGCTTGGGTCAAGGAAAAATTTCTTGTTAAACCAAATGATTTAAGAACATAAATATTCTCATCATTTGTTTCAGTTCATTGAAAATTGGCTTGCTTTAGGGTAAACCACAAAAAAACTAAATTAGCTGAACCTAAATTAGGATACTTTTTACTCATTCCTTGGAATTAAACCAAAAATTCAATATTGAAATAAGTTTCATGCTTACAGTGACATGAATAAATTTATTCATTCATACTTTTAATAATCCTAGGCTTTAAAGCACATATTAAACATGGAAATTCATAATATAGGTTCTGTGTGATTTAAGCACTTTCAGAGTTGAAAATTTTGAATTTTCCCATAAGAATATGAGAGAATTGATCAGAAGCAGAATAGAAAAATACAAAAGGCTGTGAAGAGCATGAAAAATGAACTATTTGCTTTGAACAGTAGAACCTTGATTGCATTATATTCAACCTTTTCAGAGAACTGGTAGGTTTTCTTTATTATCCTTTTTGGAATCTCTCAGTGGGATATAAAGGAGAAGAGAGATTTAACGTAAAGAACAAAAGCTAGAGTAGTAAAGATTTTATCATTGAACTCTATGTACTGCCTACTCATTTTCTTTACAGGAATGCCATTGTTTGAGTAGGTCATAACAATTTCCTTTAAAGTTTAACATGCAAGCCTTTTTA